CCCTAAATCAGAGGGTAGCAGCAGTGGAGGCTCCCAGGAGTAAGAGAGGCATCTGTCCCCTGCCCTGGCCTGGGCTTTTGGGGCCCCCGCTGGTCTTGAGGTGAATGGGACAGCAGTAGATTGCCAAGCCTGGGCTCTGGCCCTGCTGACACCAAGTGGGATTGTGGGTCCCACCCATGACCTGGCCATGTCCGGCAAGGCCCTCTCCCCACCCCCCCACCCCCGCCCCGAGGAGCCCTGGCAGGCCAAGGTGTGCAGGGAGGTGCACAGGAAGTATGTGTTGTGGGGGGACATGGAGGCCTCGTGGTGGAGGTCTCATGGCAGGGAAAGACCAGGAAAAGGTGTGGTCACTCTCCTCTCTGGGGCAGAAAGAAGGCAGTCCAGCTGACAGTCCCTGCCCAGGGGCAGCCTGTTCAGGCCTACGGGAGAGGCTAAGGCAGGGGTGGGCAAACTTTTTGACTCGAGAGGCAGTCCAGCTGACAGTCCCTGCCCAGGGGCAGCCCGTTCAGGCCTACGGGAGAGGCTAAGGGGAAGGCAGAGACCCCAGGATCAGGGATAGCTTACGAGCCTGGGGGTGGGAACGGTGGTGTGGAGGGATCAGGGATAGAGCCAAGGCACCTGGGCTTCCCAGGTGGTAACGGAGGGCAGACCAAGGGCAGCCTCTCCATATGAAGAACGAGCGAGAAGGAGCATTTGGCAGAGTCGGGGTGTGGGCTGGGCCTTGTCTCCAGGACAGCACCCTGCCCGCCACTCTCAGCATGACCGGCTTTGTAATCATCTCTCCACCTAAATTCTTCCTGGCTAGTGGTGTGGAGGGATCAGGGATGCTGGCAGCTTAGAATCTGGGTTCAGAATCCAGGGGTAGAGCCAAGGCACCTGGGCTTCCCAGGCGGTAACGGAGGGCAGACCAAGGGCAGCCTCTCCATATGAAGAAGGAGCGAGAAGGAGCATTTGGCAGAGTCGGGGGTGTGGGCTGGGCCTTGTCTCCAGGACAGCCCCCTCCGCACCACTCTCAGCATGACCAGCTTTGTAATCATCTCTCCACCTAAATTCTTCCTGGCTGTGTGACCTGGGGCAGGTTACTAACCCTCTCTGAGCTCTGGCTCTGTGTCTGAAAAAACAGAGTTAATTAGAGACACTGCATTTAATACCCCTGCCAGCATGGTGAGCACAGAGTTGGGGCTCAGGGATGGAGGTTGTCCTGGCTCCCTGCACCATTTTTTTCATATCAATTCTTCCTTATTTATGCTCTAATTTTTTTTTTAGCTCTGGGTCCACGGGCCTGTGGTGGGTTCATTCGAAGTCCTTATCCCAGAGAACAGAGACAAAGGGGCAGGGGAACAGGATGCTTGCTAAACCATTCCCCAAACTGTTCCTGGCGGCAGAAAACGAGCCTGGGATGGAGGGTGACCTTGAAAATGACATAATTTGAGAGGAGGGGCCCTGTGCAAACATTCCCACTGAGTCAACCTCGCCAGCCAATGGTATCCATCCCTGGGAAATATTAAAAGGAAAGAAAGTACAGAAAAACAGCAACATCCGGACCCACAGCTAATTGGGTTGCAGGTGGCGGCGGGAGGCAGACCCATTTGACTCTGTCCCCTTCCCCCAAAGTGGCCCTCAGGTGACGGAGCAGACCAGCCGCCTCTCGCAGGGAAACCAGGAAGAGAGGAGGAAAGAACAGGGGAGGTGGGTGGCAGGAAGAGGGAATTAGGCAAAGAGAAATGGCCTCCAGAATGCAGAAACGCCCCAGCATGCCTGTTTCCCAAACCCGGACCATGAATCGAGGGGTGACAGGTCTCTCATCTCTGATGCCAAGAGCCAGGAGCTCTGGGCAGCCGCAGGTACTACATTTGCACCTGCCAGCACTTGGAAAGAGGCAATAAAGCATCGTAGCAGGGCCCGGAATGCTAAGTGCCTGCAGCTGGGAAGGGATCGCCTTGCAGCGAGAACAGCTCAAGGCAGACGTCTACTGTGCAGCCATGTCCATGATTCTGGGGCTGGGCCGGGTTCCCGGAGACCCGCCGGCACACCCTCTCCTGCTCCGGGGCAGCCTGCTCCCAGGGGCTGGGACGGGGGCAGGACAGGTACACGTGAGAAATGGTTCTGGGGGCCACCCTAGGCTGGTGCCGGCCCAGCCAGCCTGGGACCTCTGGAGGAAGCCAGGCGGCGGGGTGATTTACCGAGGCCAGCAGAAAGCGGGGTGCTTGAGTCACTGGTAAATAAAAGTGGGTCGTAAAGCACCCGGGTAAGCCAGACATCTGGAAATACACCAGGGCCGCATCCCCCAAATGATAATAACGATAATAACGTTTATGCAGCCCTTACCGCACTGTGCCAGCCCGTTCTAAGTGCTTTGTGTGCCGAGTAATTTACTTAATCCTCACAACAACCCCAAGATTGCTGCTAGCATTCTCTTCCTATTCCGTACCAGGAAGACGAGGCAGCACAGGGAGGCCAGAGCTACCCGAGGCAGAGCTGGAGCCGGTGCAGCCTGCTTCCAGAAGCCATGCCCTAGCCGGTGCTTCTCCAACCCTCCTGTGCCCGCCAGCCACCGGGGGCTGTCAGCATGCAGCCCCTGGCTCAGCAGATCTGGCTGGGGCCTGAGACTCTGCATCACCAACAAGCTCCAGGCATGTCTGCCCCAAGGACACCCTGGAGGAGGAGGCTCTAACCACTACACTATGCTCCCACGACACCTCTGCTCTGGCCCCTGGAGGCAGCTATGAATTGCTCAGTTAACAGAACAGGCCCTCACAAGGGGCCAGAATTAAGGGACCTAATTCAACCCTGATGTCTGGGGTGGGGCCCAGGTTAGGATGTTTTGAAAGCTCCCTGGGTGATTCTGATGTGACACCCTGGCAGAATCCTCAAAACAGACAATAGGGAAAACCTCAGTCTCCGTGTCCCATTCAGTCCCACAAAACTGGGGAACGTTCCTGGGGGTTAGGTCAGGGAGGTCAAAGGTGCTTTCAGGAAGGGGAGGTGAGCCACCTCCTGGGCCAGTTGAGGGTATGACTAAGATCTGCTAGGGTACCCTCTTCTTGTCCCCTGGGGCACCCCTGGAGGAGAGGGGCAGCTAGCAACCCCAGCCTGGCAGGCCCTCCCAGGACCCCGCTTCCCCAACCATGAACTCTCAAGAGAGAGCAGACACTGACCTAGATCAGTTGAGGCTCTTGACAAAGATTAACAACTTGCGAGCTCAATTCCTGACTAGGCCTCTACCTTGCCTCCACCCCACACCCACCCCTCAGCCTGCCTAGCCAGTCTTAGCAAGAATCCTGCCGTCAGTTTATTGAAAATCCCCGCCCTTGATATCTGATCTCCCTTGATATTTGATCAAGTCCCTCATCCCATATCTTGGTGTATATGTTGGTAACCTGCTTTTAGCAAGAATGCCCCCACCCTTGGTGGCCCCTCTTAGTAATTTTCCATCCACTGACCCCCTCACTCCGCTCTTTGGCTATAAATCCCCACTTGTCCTTGAGTAATAGGTGCTGAGCCTGATCTCTCTCTTAGCCCACTGGTCTTGAGTAAAGCCTCAAGTGGCAGAATAATTTTTTCTTTAATACCCCTCCTGCCCAAGGGAAAAGTCACCCCACAAAGTGAGCTGCTAACCAAACAGAATTTAGACTCCTCGTGTTGACAGTCAAGGCCCAGGCAATGACCTCAAGCCTTATTTCTCTTACGGCAAAATCAGATGCTTTACTGCTCCTCATATACACCTGACCTTTCTCCCATCCTGCCTTTGCCTAGGCTTTTTCTCCCACCTGGAATGTCTCCTCCCATTCTTCTAATCCATCTGCTCTGATTCACAGTGTTCTCTCTTTTTTATTTTTTAAATATATCTTTATTTATTTCAGAGATCAAGGGAGAGGGAGAGATAGAAACATCAGTGATGAGAGAGAATCATTGATTAGCTGCCTCCTGCACCCCCCCTACTGGGGATAGAGCCTGCAACCTGAGCATGTGCCCTTGACTGAAATTGAACCCAGGACCCTTCAATCCACAGACTGAAACTCTATCCACTGAGCCAAACTGGCTAGGGCACAGCATTGTCTCTTGGTGATGAGACTACTTATCCCTGAGTCTGCATTTCCCCCTGTCTTCCATAACTATACAACCACCCATTTTAGCTGGTCACATGGGTCTGGGGCGGCGGGAAGAAATACTACATTTCCCAGCCTCCTTTGCAGCTCACGAGGTCACATGACCAAGTTCTGACCAATGAGTTCAATGTGAGCAAAAGCAAGTGTGTTCCTTGCAGAAGTTTCCTTATGCCTCTCCTTCTCTTCTTCCTATTTGATGTAATGGCTGAATTCCAACAGCCATCCCGGACTGTGGAGTGATACTGAACATAGAAGCTACACATGGTGAAACAACTAGGTCCTGACAACATGGAACATCATACCAGGGTTGAGCTGGCCCCTCCAGACTTGAATATGAAAGAAAAATTACCTTCCATCTTGTTTAGCCACTACGCTTTTGGAATTTTCTGTAACTCACCGCTGAACTTAATGCTACTAGATCCACCCTTTCAAAGTTCTGGAGGCATGGACTCTGGATTCTTGGTTTACCACACTACACTACAGAGAATCATCATTTTCATCCTCTTCCCAAATTACATAGTAAGAAATCTGAAGACTGGGACTGTGTCTTATACATTTGCATCTTCTCCTGCCCCATGAAGCAGGAGGCTCATACACAACACAAAGCATGTCTGAAGATTGAGTTGGATTCTTTCTAGTATACTCCGCATGGCTTCCTAGTTCGTATATCCTCAGCAGGCCACAAACCCTCCTGGTATGGCACACCCAAGGAGAGCTGCCCTTCCCCGCATCCAGGCAGAGTGCACCTCCCCCTCCCAGGAGGAACGTGCCCTTACCAGGATGTCCCTCAGCATGCCACAAACCCTCCTGGTATGGCGCACCCAAGGAGAGCTGCCCTTCCCCCCATCCAGGCAGAGTGCACGCCCCCTCCCAGGAGGAACGTGCCCTTACCAGGATGTCCGAGTCCTCAGGTGTCTCCCCTGGGGCTGGGCTGGAGCAGTTGCGGAGTTTGAATATCCAGTAGTCCTTGGCGGTGACAAAGAAGTTCCATGGCAGGAGGCCGCCAATGCCCAGGCTGAAGAAGATGATGTAGGCACCGTTGAAGCGGTCCTCGGGCCTCGGCAGGCTGGGTGGTGAGCGGTCCAGCAGCTTCTCAAGCAGGGCTTCCTGGTCCGAACACAGAGAGCTGCTTGCGGTTCTATAGGTGGAGTTTGAACTCTGATGGATGTTATCCTCTGAGACAAAGGCCACTGTTGAAACAGAGACAGGGCAGGTGATCAGAAGCAAAAGTTGGCTCAGTGGTTGAGTGTCGACCTGTGAACCAGGAGGTCACATTCAATTCCTGGTCAGGGCACATGCCCAGGTTTCGGGTTTGATCCGCAGTGGGGGGGCGATTATTTCTCATTATTGATGTTTCTATCTCTCTCCCATCCTCTCTGAAATCAATAAAAAAAAATATTATATTTTTTAAGAAGCTAACACTGGGGACTCACCCATCCTACTAAGCTGAACCATAGGCCCACCCTGGGGCCTATGGAGTCACCAAAGCATGGTTAGAGAGTTTCAGGTTTAAGGATCAGGGAGAAAGTCAAGATGTCAGAACTGTAAGTGACCTCAGCCGGTCCTCCCACCCCATGCAGGAAACACAGGTAGCAAACAAGTGTGCGGCTGGCAGGGAGTAAGGCAATGGGGCCTAATGGGGCTGGTGGCAATCAATCCAGAAGGGTAAACCTGGGCTCAAGGTATTCACGTTTCTATGCAGCCGTAACAAAGGAATTAGGACCCTTGGCGGGCAAAGCATGCTCTCTCAACTCTTTTCAACTTTATGTGAGAAAGGAGCAGAAGGTGTAGAATATGCTACAGTGTGTGCAAAATAGCAAGGCTGGGGTGGGCGGAGAGGAGACTGTACGCAAGTATGTCTGGAGAGATACCAAGTAATTCCCAACAGTGCTGCCTCTGAGGAGGGATGGGGACCGGGAAGGAGGGGACTTCACCTCATACTCTTTTGTGTCTTTTTGAATTTTGAAGTAGGTAAATGTACTACCTGCTCAAAATAAAATTATAAATAAATAAAGGCATTCAAATTAAATAACTTTTTTTCTTAAGCCCATGGTGTCTAGAACTGCCTTCAGAAGCCAGTTTGAGACATACAAGTCCACTCCCTCACTTCATTTGTGGGGAAACAGAAGTCCAAAGAGTGGAATGTCACAGGCCAGGTAAATGAACAAGCCTGGGTTTGCAACTCCTGCCTGGGCTCCCACCTCTACTCATCACGTCCGAGTCCACTCCCTCACTTCACTTGTGGGGAAACAGAAGTGCAAAGAGTGGAATGTCACAGGCCAGGTAAACGAACAAGCCTGGGTTTGAACTCCTGCCTGGGCTCCCACCTCTACTCATCACGTCCCACCGGGAGACCGCCACTCCCTACCTGTGGCAGCTCCAGAGGCAAAGGGAAGGTTCTAGGTTGGCAGCAACTATTGCCCACATGGCCTTGGGCAAGTCACCATGTTTCTGAGCCTCAATATCCCCATCAGCAAACCTAGGTTTGTTTTTGTTTTGTTTTGTTTTTTTCAAAAACCTAAGCCTTTTTATAATGGCTGTGTAACTACAACTGCTAGCAAAGCCTGGCCCACGGGAGCAGCTGTTGGACAAAACATCAGCATGTTCCCTGCGATCATGGGCTTGTCACCTGGCTGGCTGGCTGGCTGGCTTCTGAATTTGACTGCAAGGTCGCATACCTAGTCTATGCCCTATATAGCACCTAGGTCTAGGATGTGGCAGCAGCTTGATAGATGGAAAATGCTTCCATAAAGCTGAGGACAGGACACCCTAGTCCCACTGCAGTAGCTTCCTCCCTCCCCAATAAATCAATAAATGAATGTGCCTCGGCTCACGTGGGAGGCTGAGCCTTAACTTGGAGCATCAAGCCAGGCAGAACGGGCCTTTCTTCCCTGGTGAGATGGAAACGCCCTGTCGAATAGGCACGAGCCTTATCCGTTACTTCAAGAGCCTCACAACATTCCTCGGAATTAGGCAGCACAGTAATTATTGTCTACTTTTTTTTTTTTAATGCAAAGAATGAGGCCTTAAACACACTTGATTTGTCCCACATTCAAACAAGTAAGAACTCCCAATAGTTAAATAATTAAAACCCAGTACTCATGCATGCTAAGGTGTGTGTCTAGCACTTGAGCCTGACAACAGCCTAACAATAAGGTAGGTACTATTCTAAGACCCTTTTAACAGATGAAGTGTGAGGCTCAGAAAGGTTAAGCAATTTGCGGAAGGCCACACAGCTACCAAATGACAAGAGTGAGGCTACACAGCCAAGCAGTCTGAGGCCCACGGGGACTCCTTGGCCGCCCAGAGAGCAGGCTGTTTGGCAAGGTGAACCAGTGTCTGCAGGCTCCAGGTACCATGGACAGGGGGCCTCCTCCAGGAAGGCCTCGGGCAAGCGAGCTGGGAGCAGAGGTGAAAGCACCTTCCTCAATGTTTGCTGAATGAAGGAATGGCCAGGATATTCTCCCCCGAGGCTGCTTGTACCGGGCGCAGGCAGGCAGGATGCTGCCTGCAGGATGCCGGCATTCCAGTCAGCACGACTATTTTAAACTCTCCTGGTTGAGCGGAGCCTTTTCCCAGCCTGACTCACAGGGCACCCAGCACTAACCAACTAACCAGACAGTACTGGGGCGCACACACCCACACACTCACTCACTTTCTAAATTAGTGTTTTAAAATTATGGCTCCTGTAGGACAGTGGACAAAGGGCAAGCGGTTTTTCCAGATGTTCCAGCTACAAGGGTGGGTGCAGGGCCAACAGCACGACTATAGGGCCCACACTCTCCGGGCCCATTCTCAGCTCCAGGCGTCTATTTGTCCAGGGCCATTCAGCCTTGACGAGTTTCTGAAGAGCTGGGAATCTTCTCTCGAGCGGTCACAGGCCAGGGCACTGGCCTGAGCAGTCTCATTACTGTTTATAAAAGCGAGCGGCTGACGTTCAGATTGAAAAGAAAAAGGAGGAGCTGGCTGTCTGGCGTGTCTCTCCAGCACCCACCGGAGCTGGCCACACGGGGCCCTGCTCTCCTCCTGGGTGCCCGGACCAGGGGCAGCCCCTATCAAAGAAGCAGAAACATGTGGGGCCTGCGGCCACTGCAGACCGCCCTCTGGACCTGGTGCCGGTTCCGAGGAGGGTTCTGACTCTGGTCGAGTCGGTCTCCCCTCTGTGCCTCCTTTTCCCCATCTGTGAAGTGGGGCTGGGTCTGGGGAGGCGAACCTGCTGGGAACGCATCGCTGGGAAAGGCCAGGCGCCACGCAGAGGCCATGGGAGAACTGGCCTCGGCGCGGGGGACACTCCCAGGCTCAGGCGCAGGCTCCCCAGTTTGGGGCAAGAGTCAACCACTTACTTGGGGCTGAGTTGCCCCCCCGCCCCCCAAAACACACACATCCAGATGGTGAGGCCCAGGAAATGCACGAGGAGGAGGAGGGGCGAGAGTCCGGAGGAGAAAGTAGAGCCAGAGAGAAGGACAGTGAGAGGAGGGGGAGCAGGGGGAGAGCGGGAGGAGGCGCAGGGACCTGGGAGGGGGCCGTGGCGGGACCC